TAAGAATCCCGATTTTGGCCATATCGGGATTTTGAGGTTTTTCAGGTCAAGAATCCGGCTCTATAAGAAACAGCCTGACATGGATAAAAAAAACGCACCGCTCCGTGAGAATTTTGCCCTCGGATAACCGCTCTGCTCCGCTCCGTGGGACTTCCCAAAAATCCGCACAAGCGTTTTTTTCACGGAGCGGTTGGAACTACTCCGTCACACAGCACGGATAAAAACCGCAATACAGCAGTCTAGTCAGGGACCGGGATGTTTTTTTTAATGTGAAGACAACAAAAACAAGTCATGGTTTTCCCAGAGTCAAGGGATGTTTTCTTTTTTTTGCTGTTCGATATTCACCTCAGCCACACAATAATAATAAAAATATAACCGTGCGAAAGCAGTCCGCGCCACACGCACACACACTTCGTGCACATCAGTCTGCTGTGTGCACGGCTACGTGTCTACTGCTGTATCTCTGATGGAGTCGACACCCGACCCTGGCGACCGTCCTTCTGTCGACCGCTCTCCTGGTGGTGCTGGTGGTTTTTGTTGCAGGAAAGTAGGAGTCGAGGAGGTACCGATGTGGGGAAAAGTTCCTTTCTGAATACCGCAATTGATTTGTTGACAGCTTGTTGGTCTGTTTGGGCTGTCCTAGCGGCGAGGACGCATACGGCGGTGTCACCGGTGGCCTCCTACCATCGCACAGCGTGCGGAAAAATCGGTTTTCGGTGTACCGAACCCAACGTTTTCACTACAGTAGTTGCAGGTACTTCGTTGAATTTGTACGGATATTCGTGCGATTTCGACGGTTTTCGCTGACGGAAAGCCGTCTTCAGGCCACGGTTTCGCGCGTTTTGTGCTACAGAGTAAACCGTGAAAATAAACGCACTACGGATAAACCGCTCCGCTCCGCGCTCCTCGACATGAAAGAAAACGCTCTGTGAGACTTCTGCCCTCGGATAAACCGCTCGGCACCGCTCCGTGGAACTAAAAAAAGAACGCTCCGGTAAATGGTCCGCTCTCTGTGGGCACCACAGCATACCAACAGCCTAGTGCGTAGGGAGGATGTATGATGGATAGGACACACAAACAACACAGGAGGGCAAATCAGCTCCCCCCCCCGCCCCGTTCCTGTTCCGTTGTCGGCCTCACCGTAATAGTTACAGTTTGTCTGATCACCTACAGGCAGTATTAATTTCAGTACAGCGGTGTGCTGGCGGTGGAAACGCGATCATCATTAACCTACTTTAGTACCCAGTCCCTCCTAAAAAAAAAATGTCGCGAGAATGTTTATCAGCCATTGGTCGAGGGGCTACAGTCCCTCCAAAGCATCTGAGCTCCTTGCCAGACAGTGTCCCCAAAACACGTGTGGATACTTTTCATACTAAGGCCAAGTCAGCATTTTTTTCCAGAGTACCAGTGTTGTTTCGCCGGGATGTTGTTTTTGTTTATTTTTTCGACCTTTACCGGCACCGCCGCCATTACAACCCACCACCGTCACGTATGACGGCACTTGCGAGTAGCTATAGCCCTGACAAGTCGTTCCTGCTGACGAAGCGAAGGGAAATGAGGGCGTGTGGCGTTCTGGGTAGGGAAAACAACGTTGGAGAAGTACTGACCCAGTGATCAGGCATTTTTCTGATGTGGAATGTTTTCCCATATCGTCCCCGGGCAAGCGGTTTGGCGCACTTACATCCACCTGGCGCCACCCTGGGTCTACGTGGGCTGCTGAAACTAGACCACCTACACATCCTACAACAACGCTGTGTTGTATACCAGTTTTCCGCTATTGTTTCGCAATCTGTGCGTGTTACGAGGGTCACACGACCCGCTGACTTGGAGGCAGATCTGGTTGAACAGACGGATTTGGAGGACGCATCAGTATCTGACGCTGGGCCGTGCGACTTGAAGCAAACGGTAGACACACAAGCTGGTGTTGTTGGCTTGCTGTGGCATCCACGACATTAGGGGTGCGTCCTTCTTGGATGGAGACATCGGCAAACATCAAAGATGGATCTGGGTCCTCTTCGCAGTCAATTACCAACAGGATCTTCGCCAGGGGCTCCGCAATCCAAAGACATCGAAAGGGTTGTGGTTGGGAGGAAAAAAAAAAGGAAAACGATAGCAAAACAGAGAGGAGAGAGATTGGGGGCCTGATAACATCTGACGCCGCAGGTCCGGCTACCGTAACAGCGACCAATACTTGTGTCTCGCACCTGGTTCAGACACCCTCGAAGTGGCACCTGGGGTTTAAGTCTATGGGTTGAGATATCTACCAATAACAAAGTTCCAATCGAGGCGTGTAGTGTGGGCCTCTTGTTTGGTGATGGTTCGCAAGGCGTTCTGATTTTTGGGGACACTAGTCCCGGACAGCAATAAAAAAAAATCCCGGCATAGCACCCCTGGTACCAAGCAATGTACAGTTTTACGGCCTAGGGGGCACGCGGGTTGGGAGATGTGTACAGCAAGTCAGAGGCCAGGAGATGCATCACACAGCGTATCATAAATCGTAACACCTCAGCTAAGCATGATAGACCAAGGGTTGTCACGTGCGTTGCACACAGCGAAGCCTAGGGTGACTACAGTGCGGTATATAGGCATTTGAGTGCTGTGTCCCCCAAGTGTCCCCATTGGCTTCCAATACTAGGAGGGTGCAAGTTTGAGGTTTGAGGCTCGTCCTCTCAGCGGGCCCGAAAAGTTGGAGCCGCCAATGTCGGGGGGGG